TGGCTGCCGGACGCCGCGCCGCCCTGGCTGTGGCTCATCACCATCTCTGTCAGCAGCTTTACGTTATTGTTCACCTCCTCGATGGCATTTACCCGCTTCGAGATCTTCTCCATCCGTTTCTGGTCCTGGGGAAGCATTGGCAGGGGCCTCTGAGAGCCTGCCTCCTGAGCAGCCTGTGGTGGGCACTGCCCCACCACTCGAGAGTGCACACTGGGGGTCCTGGTGAGGGCTGGCTGGGTGTGGAACCAGACCCAGCCTCACTTTGTTGCTCAGGCTGAGGTGGGGTTCTTCATGTCCTGCTCACGCCCAGGACAGCGCACTCTGGTCCAAGAAGCCCTCTGGACTTAGGCCTTTGTGAGAACCCACCAGAATCTCCAGGGATGGCCCAGAAATCTGGGCTTCCAACACTCTGGCCAGGTGCTTCTGAGGGACCAGGACCCCAGACCTGCACCTGTGGTTCTAAGTGACTAAACTTCTTTGTCTCTTGAAAGGGGGTTCTGTATTTTATAGTGAAAGGTGACTTCATGGTCACCAAGTCCAACTAGAAATGAGTGTGGTGACCCTCTCAGGTCAGGGGGCCCACACCTTTCAAGGCTGCTGTAGGAAGTAACCCCAGATTCCTTGCCCCTCGGCTTGCTGTGCATGTTCCTCCCATGCAGAGTGAAAGGGAGGCATGTGCTGTGCCACCTGACAGAATCACCCTTCTTAAAGGGACCACCCCTGACATTCTCTTAGCTGTCGTCAAGCACATAGTCTGGCCCTTCGAGACAATCCCACATTTCTGCCCTCTGGACCTCTGGCAGGACAGCACGTCCTCACCAGAGCCTGCTGCAGGAAACCCAAAGGAGCCCTCGGCACAGGAAGTCCAAGATCCAAGCTTATCCCGGGGCCAGTCTGCCACTGACTGGACTCATCTCCTGGGGAGAAAGAGCAGGCAGGTTCTATTGGGCCCACACTTTTTTTTTTCTTCAAGACAGTCTCACTTTGTTGCTCAGGCTGGTCTCGAACTCCTGGCCTCAAGTGATTCTCCCATCTTGGCTTCCCAAAGTGCTGGGATTAACAGGTGTGAGCCACTACACCGGCCCTGGGCCCACCCTTTTAAAAAAAGTTAGAAGTGGCTGCTGTCATTAGTGAATTGGGAGAATTCATGCAAAACTCTGTATTTCTGTATCACCTTCAAAGTAAAAAAATACCTGATGATTCAGCTACGTTGGGCTGTGGCTGGGAGGGCAGCTCCTTCGTGGGCAGGGGTGGCCTCCTTCTGCCCCAGGGATGTCTCTTGGCGGCCCCTGCCATGGTGGCTGTCACTACCTGAGTTGTTAACCCCAAGCCTGGGGACCACCAAATTGGGATGCTTTGTCTTTTTTTTTTTTCTTCTGAATTGGAGTCTCACTCTGTCGCCTAGACTGGAGTGTAGTGGCTGCTCCCGGCCACCAAAGCCTCGACCTGCTGGGCTCCGGCGATCCTTCCGCCTCAGTCTTCCAAGTAGTTGGAACTACAGGCACGCGCTACCACGCCCGGCTAATGTTTTGATTTATTGTAGAGATGAGGTCTTGCCAAGTTGCCCAGGCAGGTCTCAAACCTGCAGGCTCAGGCGATTCACTCACTGCAGCCTCTCAAAGCGTGAGATTACAGGCTGAGCCACCGAGCCTGGCCGTTTTGTCTTTTATCTGTGCCATTAACTACTGATCTGCAACCCATATCATCAAAAAAGATGACTTGGCCAGGCACGGTGGCTCAGCCTGTAATCCCAGCACTTTGGGAGGGCGAGGTAAGAGGATTGCCTGAGTCTGGGGGTTCATGACCAGCCTAGGCAACTTGGTGAGACCTTGTCTCTACAATAAATCACAAAAATAAGCTGGGCATGGTGACATGCACCTGCTATTTGGAAGACTGAGGCGGAAGGATCTCCTGAGCCCAGCAGGTAGAGGTTGCGGTGGCCATGAGTGTGCACTGCACTTCAGTCTGGGTAACGGATTGAGACTCCAACTCAAAAGAAAAAAAAAAGGAAAGCTGAGGCGGAAGGATCGACTGAGCCCAGCAGGTAAACGCTGGGGTGGCCGTGAGCGTGCCACTGCACTCCAGCCTGGGCGACAGAGTAAGACTACAACTAAAAAAAACAAAAAAAAGAGATGACTTACCTTTATCAATAAAAAGTTTCAGCAGACACCCACAACACATGTATATGTTCTTATACATTAAACATCTACTGTTCTCTTTATATACAGAGGTGCCAAAAAAAGTATACACATTTTTTTTTTTTTGAGAAAGCAGAATTTGTTGAGAGGACAGAGAAGCTCCTGCAGTGGGAGGGGACCTGAAGGGTCCCTTTTTTAATTTAATTTTTTTTGGGTTTTTTTACACATTTTAAGAAAGGAAAAAACTCTATATGCTGATAATAAAAGATAAATACAAGTCACATTTGACTTCTGCAATTACAAAAGGTGCTCAAAGCAGCTACCATCAGCATCCAGACACTTCTGATTACAGCAAACTAAAAGTAATACATAGATAACATCGCTTGAAATGTGTATCCATTTTTTTGGCACCCCAGTATATAGGTATACACTCTTACATACACCCTTTAATTTTTTTTTTTTTTTTTTTGAGTTGGAGTCTCACTCTGTCGCCCAGACTGGAGTGCAGTGGCCGCTCCCGGCCACCGCAGCCTTGACCTGCTGGGCTCCGGCGATCCTTCCGCCTCAGCCTTCCAAGTAGCCGGAATTACAGGTGCGCGCTACCACGCCTGGCTGATTTTTTTATTTATTGTAGAGATGAGGTCTCGCTGCCCAGGCGGGTCTCGAACCCGCGGGCTCAGGCAATCCACTCACCTCAGCCTCCCAAAGGCGCAGGATTACAGGCTGAGCCACCGAGCCTGGCTACATACACACTTTATAAACATACAACAAGGCCTTCTTCACTTCTCATTCTTGTGGAAGAGGCAGCCAGCCTCACAGCAGCCCATCCAGGGCAGGTCAGCCCCGGCTGCTGGGAGTCTTTCCTGCACACACGGGTTCCCCAGTGTCATTCAACTTCTCTGCTGTGACAGCTCTTTCCTGATCCCTGCAGGGCTCCATGCATATGCAGACCCCACCCCCTGCCGTCATCCGGCACAGCATCCCCTTCTGCCTGCCCCCTGTGCTCTGGGCTTGGCTGGTCCTTACCTCCTGCACCATCTCTTTGATGAGCTTGTTGGCAGCACGGAGGTCCTCAGGGTGGGAGCTCTTCAGCAGGCGGGCCAGCATCTGCAGGGACAGAGGGGCAAGACTGTGAGGGCAGCACCTGCACCCTCTGACAGAAGACAGGGGTCACATTCTGGCTCCCCATTTCCTGGGGACCTGAGTGAGTCACTTAAGCTCTCTGTGAAATGGCAAACATTTACTGACACCTGATGGGGTGGCTGTGAGAACAGCTGAGACACTGCATATAATGTGCTTCCCACAGTGCCCGGCAGAGATCTGCTCTCAACAAACAGTGCTCATTATATTATTATCGCTTTCTGAGACCCTTTCTGGAAGGATCTATAAGAACGTCAACAGTGATTACCCTCTGGGACTGGGGAGAGAAGAGCTTTTACTTGTGTCTCCTTGCTTTAATCCTTATTTTAATATTTTCTCTTTCTGTACTGTTTAATTTCTTGCCAAGTACATGATTCTTTAACAGAAAGCAGTAAAATCACTACATTTATTTTGAGTCGGGGGTCTCACTCCGTTGCTCAGGCTAGAGTGCAATAGCATGATCATGGCTCACCACAGCCTTGACCTCCTGGGCTCAGGTGATCCTCCCTCCTCAGCCTCCAGAGTAGCTGGGACTACAGGGGTGTACCATGCCAGGCTAATTCTTAAAAAAATTTTTTGTAGAGATGAGGTCTCACTTTGTTGCCCAGGCTGGTTGCGAACTCCTGGACTCAGGTGCTCTTTCCACCTCAGCCTCCCAAAGTGCTGGGATTTGCAGGTATGCACCACCATGCCCAGCCTAGAATTACTACTGAAAGGATCAAAGACATAAAGATATGCAAACTCCTGATCAACCTATGAAATATCCTCAAACCAACTCTAGAGACACCAGACACATTCCTGTGTTTATTAACCACACAAGATGAACTTATCACGCAGTAAGTGATCAATAAACAGTGTCCATCACCCACACCAGTGGCCATGCTCAGTGAGAGCCTGCCCCAAAGGATGAGGCCAGGACAGTCAGGGGCCAGAAGTCACTGACCTCCTGCTGGGCCCTGGAGTTCCCACTTGGGCCTCCTAGGAGTCTCACCTTGGATTTCTCCTCGTCTTCGAAGATCACATTCTTGGGCCGAGGAGGAGGAAGGGGAAAGGTAGCGTCATCTGGAAGCTTGGGGTCAGACTTTACAATCCCTGGAGTAGACGGGTGTCAGCAAGGCTGTCAATAGGTTCCAGGTCCAGGGGCAGGGGATAACAGGGGGACGAGGGGCAGGCAAGGGTAGGATGGAAGCGGGAGGTCAGTCTTTCTCCCACATGCTGGCTCTGGACTCTGGGGGGCCAGGGCCTGCTCCTGACCAACCATGTCAAATTGAGTAGGGGAGAGGGTTTGGGCACCTATATTTTGAGGCTACTCTCTGAGGGGAAGCTTGACCCAAACCCACCCTCTCTCCGCCCAAGCTAGTCTCAGGCAGAGATACAAAAAGGCTCCACTGGCCAAATGTTCTCAAGAAGTTAAAGGACAGGCCCATGACTTGCTGGCTCAAAAGCCCCTGCAGCTGCTGGAGCCCCAGCTCAGAGACGGGGCAGGTGCTGGTCACACCCCACCGTCTGGTGCCTACCTTGCTTCTTTAGCATCTGGTAGGCCTCTGCGATCTTCACTTCCTCGGGAAGGCCAACTGTCCAGCTGTACAGGAGCTCCAAAATCTTGCTCTTTACTTTCTCTGACGTGCGAGAGCCCAGATACTGTAGGACCCAGGGGAGGGAAGGCCTCTGATGCTGCCTGGCCCTATTTATTTCAGTCCCAGCCCAGACCTGTCCTGTGACCAGAGCTGCTGAATGACCCATCTGGCTCCCCATTCTCCTCCTAGGAGGGGACTCTGGTGTGGGAGTCGCTTCCCCCAGCCCAGTTTGCTGCTAGGAGATGGTGAGTGGAGCCCAAGGCCTCACAGTTTCACACCTGCCCCTTCCCTGGCCAGCCTCAAACCTCTCCTTCCTGAAGTCTTGAGGTTAAGTCTCCATGAGCCAGCTGCAAGCAGGCACTGTACTCTCCTGAGTCAGTCTGCACCCTCACCACAGTACCACTCAGGGGGTAGGGAGCTGAGACACAGGGCCCACAGGGCCAAAGGGGTGGGATCTCACCCAAGGAACATCAAAAATGTTCTAGCTCATGGGAGGACTCCTCAGCCCAGAGGCCAGAAACCTGGGGCAGGGTCCATCCGGGCCTAGTAGGCTCCATCATTCAGGTCCATATCCTTGGATGCCAAGGTTCAAGGAGGCCACTCTTGTGTGATGGGGATAGGGAGACCTTCCAGCAGAGACCAGGTGGGGTGCTGTGGCCAGGTCCACAGGGAGTGTCTAGGGCCAGAGCAGCTGGTGTGGGGCAAGCTGTTGCCAGCTGTAGGTGTTGCCTGGAATCACTTCTCTCTAAGCACGGGGACACCTCATGGCTGGCCCATCCCTGGTCGGCCTGGAAGTGCTTCTCTGAAGCCCCAGCTTCCCAGAACCAGCTGTGAAGGGGACTGTAAGAAGAGATCTGTGTTTGTCTGAGGGGACTGAGTTCTGATGGGGGCAGAGGCAGCATGCCAGTGGGAGGTCCCCAGGAAAAGGGGCAGTCAATTCTAAATCCGGGCATCCTCCTTTCCCGACCCACGCCTGACAGAGCAGGCCTCAGTTGGTTCTAGAGCACCCACCTTGGGAGACACGACCTTGATGAGCTCGTTGAGGAAGCGGAACTTGCCCACCTCATCATGGAACCTCTTGCCACAGCTCTTCATGCATGTTTCCAGCACCTGGCAAGGAGGTGGGATGGTGAGCAGAATCCAGGGGGGCCTGGGTGGCAGCCTCCCCCTCCATGCCTTAGCCAGGGTCCAGAAGCCCAAGGGTGGGCATTAGAAGGGAGGGAACTGACCCATGAGGACAGAGGATTCTGAGGTGCACAAGGTCCCTGAGACAGGTCTTCACCCCAGGGGCCGGGGGGTGACTTATACTGCTGGCAACGCCTAGCCTATGGCAGTGCTGTAGCCCCTCGACAACTTGGAACATATCTGAGCACCACTCGTGCATTACTCTCTTACTACTTTTTTTTCCTAAAAAATCTTAAATAGGTACCTTCTACATTGGCCTTATCCTAAGCTGTATCTGTGAAATCACAAGATTGGTATGTACTTGAGGAAAAAGAAAAACAACACATGAACACAAACACATAATTACTATGTCCCATGATAGGTGGCATGGGCCCCCACCGAGGGTCAGACGGTGTACCCATCCTCCTCTGCTCGGGCCTGAGCCCACCCTGTGGGAAGGACAGTGCTGTCCTGTGTCTGAAGACCATCACAGGCTGGCCAGGCTCCTACTATGCACCTGGGGAACGTTACAAACATGCAGACTCCTGGTGGCAGGAGTTTGGATTTGGCAGGTCTGGGGGACCCTGATTCAGTTTGTGTACCAGGCCTCCTGGAAGGGCAGCTGACAAGTAGTTGGAGTGGGGAGTCCTGGGCGAGATGATACCAGGGGACTTCCCCAACCAAGAGGCAGGAGCCCAGCCCAGTGGGAACATCAGGGCTGGGCCTAGCCCTCCACCCTGGGCCATCTTGGCACAACTCCCTAGGGCTCTAGGGAGAGCCTCATGGAACCACAAGAGGATTTTGGCCTCCCTGGTGCCATCTCAGGGCCTCCTCCCTCCCCTCTCCTCACCGTCAGGGCCTGGATCGCCTCCCACTCCTGCGGGGACTGGATCTTGTGAGCCAGCAGCCGGGTGGCAAGTGGAGGCCTGGGTGGGAGAACAACACAGAGGCAGAATTGCCACAGGTCCAGTCACTCCAGGGAGGGTCACTATGCTAGCCTGCTGGGACTTCAGCTCTCTGTGGCTTCTGCAGATGTATGCAAAGGTCTAGCTCCCTCTCCAGATCAGACGGGGCCTGGGATTGTGGCAGGGCAGGCCAGGTCAGGCCAGGTGGGGACTGTAGGCGCAGACCTTCAAGAGGCAAGTGCTCGGCCCTCAGCTGGCTTTACTGTAACCATGACATGCTGTGTCCTTGGCTTGCCACAGAGACAAGTATGGAGAGATGGCTGCAGCCTTCAAGAAGCTGGTCCAGGAGCAGAACATAACCACGTGCCATGAGGATGCACAGACATTCCCTGGAACTCATGGTGGCTATGGACATTCTGCTGGGGAAATCAAGGCAGCTTCCTGATGGAAGTGGTGACATCATCTACCAGATCATAAAAGATCTGTCACTAGTGACAATAACAACTAGTCTGTCCTGAGCACTGATAATGTGTGCAGCGCCTCCCATGCACCCTCCTGCGTAGTGAGCTTCATGAGGCAAGGAGGAGAACCTTCACAACTTCTGAGGTGGGCAGCACCATCATTCCCCTTCTCAGAGGTAATCAATGACTCGCCCAAGGTTCCTCAGCTCAAGATGGGAGGGGATTCACATCCAAGCAGCCTGACTCCAAAGAACACACATCACACTGCCCAGCCTTCCCAGTGGAGTGCCTATACCAAGGGAGGTGGAGTGGAGGAGGGGCACACGGAGCTGTGGTCCCCAGACTTCAGCATCGCCTGCGAAGCCTGCTAAGAAGGTCTGCTCTCGGCCGGGTGCGGTAGCTCAAGTCTGCAATCCCAGCCGTTCGGGAGGCCGAGGCGAGAGGACTGCCTGAGCCTGCGGGTTCGAGACCAGCCTGGGCAACATGGTGAGACCTCGTCTCTACAGTAAATTTAAAAATTAGCAGGTGTGGTAGCACGCGCCTGGCTACTTGGAAGGCTGAGGCGGAAGGATCGCCGGAGCCCAGCAGGTTGGCGCTGGAGTGAGACTCCAACTCAAAAAAAAAAAAAGGTCCACTCTCAACGCCCCCACCAGACAGTCAAGTCTGAGTGCAGCCCAAGAATGTGCATTTCTTTTATTTAAAAAAATTTTTTTTTCCCTAAGAGATGGAGGTCTCACTATATGCTCTGGCTGACCTTGAACACCTGAGCTAAAGCAATCCTCCCACCTCAGCCTCCTGAGTAGCTGGGACTAGAGGTCCCACTGCACCCAGCTGAGAATGTGCATTTCTGAGCACACTCCAGGTGATTCTAATGTAGGCTGTTCCCCCAGGTGGGGGGGATACAGTGCTCCCTGGGGGGCCATTCCCAATAAAGCACTGGCTGCAGGTCAGGCAGGTCCAGGTTTGGTCAAACTCAGCACTGCCATTAGGTCTCTGTGAGATCTTGGGACAGGTCGCTGAGTCCCTTGGGCCTTGATTTCTTCACCTGTAAAATAGATCCAGCAAGGCCCACACACAAGGGTGACACACAAGCAGCACTTAGTACCAAGCACCCACTTGTATCATTAGCTTGTGAGTGCATCAAGAATGGACACTGAGCCGGGTTCGGTGGCTCAGCCTGTAATCCCGCGCCTTTGGGAGGCTGAGGTGAGTGGATTGCCTGAGCCCGCGGGTTCGAGACCCGCCTGGGCAGCGAGACCTCATCTCTATAATAAATCAAAAAATCAGCTGGGCGTGGTAGCGCATGCCTGTAATTCCAGCTGCTTGGAAGGCTGAGGCGGAAGGAGCGCCGGAGCCCAGCAGGTCGAGGCTGCAGTGGCTGGGAGCGGCCACTGCACTCCAGTCTGGGCGACAGAGTGAGACTCCAACTCCAAAAAAAACAAAACAAAACAAAAAAGAATGGACACTGGGTCTCGATCCACTCAGGCTGTTCTGCTGAGGCCAGGTCTGGATCCTGCTGAGTGTGCAAGCAAGCAGGGGCAGCCACCTACCCCTCGAAGTCCTCGTTGAGCTGCTCACAGAAGCTGTTGATGCTGGCCCAGTTCAGCTCCTTGTTCAGGGGGTTCGTGGCTCTGTCTGTAGAGGAAATGGGGTGAGCTGGCCTGGCGGAGGGATCCCTGCTCTCCCACTCACTCTGGCAACTGGTGTGGTCAGTTGGGGGAGGGTGTGCGACCAAGCACGTGGGCAAGACTTGCCCTGGACTTCTGCCCAGGCAGCCTCACGACCTGAGCACTGATGTTCTGATTGGGTAAATGGGCAGATGAGCACGTGTCTGCTGGCTCCCTTTGGCTTCCCACCAAAGAGACCTGCAGCTGTACCCGTGTCACGCCAACCGTACCTCCTCTGATTCTGCTCCTGAGAACAATGGCCCCACACTTCTCATGGAATCTACACTCCAGGAGACCCAGAGGTAAGGGGGAAAACACCCTCCAGGAGCTGTGCAGCCAGGAAGTGGGCCAAGGAAGCCAGGTTCTCAGCAAAGTGTGACAGAGGGAGGCAAGGAGCTGCGGAACCCAGAGGAGGGGATTCAGTGCAGCCTGGGGCAAGGGGAGGCTGACTGGAAGAGGCAACACTCAAGCAGGGATTAGGAATTACCCAGGATGGGGGAAGCTCACCTCTGACCAGCTCAAGGGCTGCGTGAGGAGAAAAGATATGGGTAACAGCACAAGTCAAGAGTACAGAGGGCCTGGTGAGGACTGTGGGTTTACCATCATGATGGGATCAGAGAGCCCTTCTCCCCTGGAAGTGGCTCAGCTATCTCCTCCTCCAGGCAGTCCTCCCTAACTCTCCACTCCTGTCCAGGGTGGCAGCGCTGGGTCAGTTCTCTCTTCTGTGTCCCCAGGCCTGCATGGCTCTACATCCCAGCCACTTGTGTCCATGTCTGCCTCCGCTTGGCAAATGAATGAATGAATGAGGGGTCAGCTGCAGGCAGGCAGTGGTGAGGTGCTGGGGAAGTCTTAATCCAGGAGCGGGTAGTGGCCAAGAGCAAACCGTCTACAGGGGGTGGTCAACAAGAGTGGAGTCAACCCTGTGACCCCCAATGTTGGTTACACAGCAATCCAGCAGGTCACATACTCCCCTGAATGTCCATGCCCTCATTTGTGAAGTTGAAATGAATTGTGGATGACAAAATACTTTATGCATGGGAAAGCCGTGGGGGCAGCCAGAGCATCACTGCTCCACAGTCCATCTCCAAGCATCATCCTTTCCCAGTCAGTTCTGCCCAGGCCTGAGCACTGAGCGGGGGGTGTGGAATGACCCAGCCCAGCAGGTGGAGCAAGAAGAATCTATGGACAGGAAGCTGGGGACCCAGCATGTGGCGTCTGCCCACTGGGGACCCACACTGTGGCACGGCCTGAAGCCCTGGGATCCCAGTACCTGGGAGCCATTATTCAACTCATGGTGTTGGCGCTCCTTCAGTGCACAAGACAAAATCCCCACCCTCCCCTGAAGCTCAGGGCCCAGCAAGAGAAACAATCAGATGAACCACCACAGAACACTGCACACAGTTGCGAAGTGTCAGAAAGACAAGCAGAGCAGGGAAAATGCAGAATGTTGGCGTGCTCTCTCGGAGGGCTCTTGGAGGGGTTGCAGCGGAGCAGAGGTTGGAATGAAGTACTTTCTCCCTGGGTACAAATCTCTGCTCCAGGAGCCTCACAGGACTCCCACCAGTCCCTCAGAGAAATGAAGCCCCTGCTCGTTACCTGGGGCGACCACAAATATGGACCCCCCCATCCCCACCCCATGGTGAGGGTAACTGTCTGCTCTGCATCCCAGTCCCTAGCGTGGCCAATGGCTGGGGAACACCTCTCTGGAGTTAGAATGTCACTGCTCACTGATGACCCTAAAAAAGGAAGTCCCTTGAAGGGTCAAAGTCATGTGAGTTGGAATGAGGACAGAGAAGCTGATTCGAGACTGTTCCTGAGTCAGAAGCCAGCGAGAAGGAAGCACTGGCATCACGAGACATCAGCTTTCTCCCCTGCCTCCCTGGGGCCAAGAAGATCTAGCCACCCTCCCGGGCTCCTGACCCCCACTCCCTTAGCTCTCCCAGGGGGAAACCTGCCCTGGCAGGCAGGCAGCAGAAGAGAACACCTGGGGAAAGGGGAGGTGTTTCACAACTGGGTATGACTCCACCCTGTCACTCCACAGTGGTGACAAAATCATCATTTACCTCTCCGAAGCTAACCTTTACCTCTAACCTCTGCAAGGGAAGATCTTATAATCTTGCCAGGACAAAGAGGAAGAAAAGAGAAGGCAATCTCAGCCCCATTTATCAGGGTCCAGCCAAACTCTGGTGCCATGCTTGTTTCTGGACTCTGAAAATCTCCATTGTTGCCAACCTGAGACTGTTTCGTATGACCTGAGTGTGAGACCTGCAGCTCCGCTGAGATCAACAGCCAGGGCCCCGCCCTTCCCCTCAAGTTGCTCCTGAGACCTAGATGGACACTTGTGGCATTCAGGAATAGCCATGGCTGCCGAGCACCTCCTTCCACCCCCTCTCCTGGCCAGGCTGACTGTGAAACCCCCCTGGAGATGGTGTGGTTCTGGGGTCAACCTCAGGGTTAATTCTGCTCAAGACTGGCTTAAAAGGGGCTGGGTCACCATCCCAAACCATTCCACACAGCTGCCTGCTGCCCAGGGGCCAAGGGACTGCGCTGAGGACAGACCCAGAGGCTGCCTGGAGGCTCTGGCACAGATGGGCCCCAACGGGAGTTAAAGTTTCAGGATACAGCAGTCACTGGACCAGGGAGAAGCCAGCCACGGCTTTCAGGGCACAGTCCAGGAGTGGGGTTGTGACAGCCAAGGACCATCAGCACTGTGGGACAGGGAGCGCAGGTGTAGCGTTTGGGGGCTCAGAAATCTGAGCAGAAGGAAGTGTATCAGAGGAGAAGCAAGGCAAGGGGCGCAGAGGCCTTTGGAGGAAGCGCAGCAAGACTGGGAAAGGAGTCTTGGATGGAGCTGCGGAGTCTGAGGGGCTGGGCTCAGGGGACCGATGGGAACTGGAATTACTTCTGCAGTCTGAGACCAGATCCTCCCAAGCCTGCAGGATCTGTGCTTTCTCACTGTGTGGCCGGAGAGAGGACTGGGTGGGCCAGTGGGTCCTCCATTCCCGGACAGGGGAATGAGCAGACCCGAGCAGCGACAGGCTCAAGGAATGCCAGCGTGGAGGACCCGGGCCTGGGGACAGCAGAGTCCCTCCCTCCGGGTCTGAGATGCATCTCTGGGACGCTCGTTTGCTCCTTCCCAAGGATGACCTGGAGGGCAGCTCCTCCAAGTCTGGGCCTGGGGGTTGGAGGCTGCTCTCTTCGTCCGGGGGTTCTGGACGCGGCCCCTCCCGTCCGAGGCCGAGCCCCAGGTATCGAGCGGGTGGGCGGCGCCAGATCCCACCGCACGGCCGCGCAGCTGGTGGGGTCTTCCTGCAGCCCAAGATCGGGCAGGGGGCTGACTTGGGGCACCGCCCCTCCCGGGCCGGGGGCGGGGCGTGAGGAGGGGGCGCCCCGTCCACGCCCCGCCGGGAAGGGGCCCGCCTCGTGCCCCCGGTTCCGGTTCCGGTCCGGCCCGCGCCCCTCCCGGACACTCACTGATTCGCGCCTCCAGAGTCTCCGGCTCCATCGCGGGCTCCATCCGCCACGGGCCCCCAGCTTCGGCACCGCCCCCCGCCCCCCGCAGCTCTCGCGGGACCTCCTCGGCACCACCCTCCGTCGATTAAATGGGCAACGGCCGCCCGGACGCGCGGGAGCGGCACCCGGGCGGGCTCGGCACCATAGAGATGCCAACGAGCTCGCCTAGAGCGCCACCGACTCGCCCGGCCCCTCCCCGAGCGGCGTCGACGTCGCGGGTGGGACCCGCCGCTGGCCTTCCCGTTCCCGTCGCTCGGGCGGGAGAGGAAGCGGCGAGACTTAGGGCTGAGGTCGGCACCATGGAAACCCCAAGGGACGCGCTAACTCATTCTGCGTCACGGAGATGCCTGTGACCGCTTCCGGAAGAATCCTCCGCTGCCATGTCTGAGGGGCTCTGAGGTCACTTCCGGAGCTCTGGGCGGCCACTTCCTCTTGGGGGGCGGGCGTGGGAGGGTTCCTTAAAAGGGCGATGATGTACAGCGGCCGCTGTGAAAATGACGAACCTAAGTCAAAGTTTGGCTAGGTGCGGGGGCTCACGCCTATAATCCCAACACTTTGGGAGACTGAGATAGGATGATCGTTTGAGACCAGGAGTTTGAGACTAGCCTGGGCAACACAGCGAGACCCTGTCTCTTAAAGGGAAATAAGCCAAATTTGTTGTTTTTACAATATTCCAGGGATTATTCTAAGCAGTGTTATACATTCATCCATTTACTCTTTACAACAAACCCACGAGCCAGATAATTAGTTGTGTGGGTTTTTTTTAGAGACACGGGTCTCACTAATGTTGCCCACGAGGCTGGTCTCGAAGTCCTAGCCTCAAGCAGTCCTCCCGCCTCGACCTCCCAAAGTGGGATCACCGGCGTGAGCCATCGCGCCCTGCTGAGCCAGATAATTAGTCTGCTCGAGGTCACACAAGTGGCAGAGCGTGAACCGTGTACTAACTCCTGCAGTCATCCTGCAAGCATTTAAATGCACGGTTTGCGTTTGTTTTGCTCTGTGTTGGGCCCTCCCTGGAGGAGAAAGACAAGGCCAGGCGTTCATTACGCACTGGGATGGGGGCGGCCCACGCGACGATGGCGAGGCAGGAGGGGCCTCCCACGCCACCCTGGGTGGGAGTCGGGAGGTCTTGTCAGCCGAAAGACAGTGGGCTTCCTCCAGGTAGAGCTGGCGCGAAAAGAGACTCGGGGAGAAAGCGTCGAGGGAATTCAGGCATTCCTAAACAGGCATTCCGGCCCAGCTCCCAGAGGGTGTGTGCAGGGCCGGCCTGGAGGAGGCTGGGGCGGGACCGCGCAGGTGCC